AGTGCAAAAAAAAAAAACTCCATGAAAGGTGTCTTGCACTTATCAGTCGCAGAAACGCCATTATTTGTCTCACATAAAAAACGGAAGTTATTTATGACTCGACCTAATATTTATTGCAGTAGTGGTTTTTTTATATATATATATAAATAATATCGTTTCAATTTAAAGACTCTTCAATAAATCTCTACAAATGAAATTATAATTGATTACGTAATTAATAATACAATATCAAAATCAGTGTCACATTATCGATCTTTTTTTGAGTACTCACCTTATCAAAAGAAACCTAAATTTAACGATATTCTTATCAGATAACACTAATAGTTCCTTACATATATATATGGACAAATTTCATTCATTTTCAGTTATTCGACACCTCTCACAAATAATGTTATTCCAATTCCTACTTGCAACCTGCCTGGTAATTCAGGGTAAGTGTTTCAAAATGAAAAACAAAAAAAAAAAGAAAGAAAATAAAAATTTGCTCATGTTCATCCATTCCATTAATAGAAAAAAACTTGCCTAATAAATTATTATTTATAGTTATAATTTTATTATATTATATAATAATTATAATTATTATAATTATAATTTATTTAATATATTATATATAATTATTAAACATATTATATAATATATTATTATTTCTATTGAAATAAAATTAAATTTAATGAAATATTTAAATATAAATAAAAATTATTTCTAGCATGCTGGGCGACACCATTGACCCCACGTATAACTGGTGGAAATGATGCAACACCTGGCCAATTCCCATACCAAGTATCTGTCCAATGGGGTATCCCACCTTTCGTTCAGTATAGACATGTTTGTGGTGGATCTCTCATTACTGACAATTATGTATTGACCGCTGGACATTGTGTATTGAAGATTGGTAAATTGAAGGTTGCAGTTGGTAAACATTATCTTGCTACTGTTGAAAATACTGAACAAGATGTCGAAGTTAGTCAGACGATTGTTCACTCAGGATACAAAGGGTACAATAATATATACACACTCATCCTTTTACTACTATTATTATTATTATTATTAAATATGAATTAATAATTAATTTTATTAATAACAACATTTTTCAGAGGTGTTGCACAACACGATATCGCTTTGTTGAAACTTAAAACACCATTGACTCTCAACAAAAGAGTAGCACCACTTGAACTTCCTGTTCAAGATCAAGTACAAACCGGATATGTTGTTCTTAGTGGATGGGGTTCAGTATCCAGATCCATTTTACCAGTACTTCCAAAGGTTCTTCAAACAGCAACATTACCTTTGTTAGAAAACGATGAATGTTTGGCTCAACTACAATCAGTCAAATCAATTGGAAAGAAACCACAACTTTTCCCAACTCAAGTTTGCACTGGTGCTGGTGAAAAATCCAATCTTTCTGCTTGTTCTGTAAGTTCATTTGAATTATTCAATTAGAATTGAAATCAATTTATTAGAAACATTCATTTTTGGGGGGGGGGCGCGCGGACGGGAGGGGGAAGGGGGTTCATTCAGGACAATGATTCATTTTGTTTTTTTTGTTTTGTTTTTTTTTTCAGGGTGACTCTGGTGGCCCATTGGTTCAATACATCGATTCAAAACCTGTCCAAGTTGGTATCGTTTCATGGGGTATACTTCCATGTGGTCATGGAATGCCATCAGTTTACACACGCGTTGCATCTTACGCCGACTGGATTAACAAACACGTTAATTAAATTATTATAGGATTTTTTTGTTTTTTTTTTATACGTGAACATTAATCATAAGTTGATCTATCAAATTTATTAAAGTATAAATAGTTAAGAAAAAAAAAAAAAAACAAAAATTTAATAAAATATTATTACAATCATTTAAATAATGAATCATAAATTTTCCTTCGATGTCACAAAATTCTTTCTAATGTTTTCCTTTTTATTTTTATTTTCTTTTTTTTTGTAATTTATTTCAAATAAATATTTATTTATTTATTTAATTATTATACCAGAAAAAATAATCATTTACATAGTAGTAACAAGGTTAATATATAGTAAATCCTACAAGAGGTAAACATAGTTACCTGTACATAAGCTGGTATATAATAAAATTACTAATACTTCAAACTAAGAAATATAAATAAATTGAAATATAAATTGTATAATTAAAATATATATAAAAATATATAATAAATATATAATAAATACAAATATATATAAATATAATAATAATAATAATAAACAATATAATATATAATATAAATATATATAAATATAATAATAAAAAATAAAAATAAATAATAATAATAATAATAATAAAATATGATAATAAAATTAAATATAAAAAATGTGAAATTATATTTTTAAATTTATAATTATTATAATAATTATAATTATTATAATTTGGATAAACTACAATTGTAATTTTTAATATAAAAAAAATATAATTAATTTGTACAATAAATTGAAAAACCTTTCAATAGTTTTGTAGAATTAAAATTAATGCAATAATCTTTCTAGTATTTTTTTTTTTTTTTTATTATAATTTGGAATATAAAAAAAAAAAGCAAAAACGTAATTAAATTTGTAGAATAAATGAAAAATATTTTTCCATAGTTTTGTATAATTAAAATTAGTGCAACGAGCGAGTGCATTAAATGTAAGTTTTTTTTTTTTTTTTTTAAATGATTGATAACGTAATCGTAACCGAAGATATACGGAATTTTTTGTTTGTTTGTTTCTATCTATACTAGATAATATATCGCCTTCGATTATATTGAAATAGATAATAATAAAATTGATTAATGAAAATAAAAAAAAAAAAAAGAATCTTACTGAAACAATTGCCATTGCACAATGCAATCTTTTTATTTTAAGATATCACATTGGGTATATTCCTTTTTTTCAATAAAAATCAATGAATTATTTTTCTTAATCCAATTTTTATTTATCTCAAATTGAATTAAATTCTTTAGAATTTTGTTATTAAATATTCGAATATAATAATGGGGGTTTTATTTTTTTTTCTTTCTCTGAATATATCAATCTTAAAATATTATTTTTCATTATCATTAATTCATATTAGATTTGTTTTATTGTTTGTTAAAAAATTAATTCCATTTTAATATGAGCAAAAAAAAAAAATTTTGTACAATTTATCTGATGTAATATTATAATAATTAATAATATAATAATACGATTAATAATAAATGTGTAACTTGTGTGTAAAAAGTAATTAAATAAAGATAATGCAATGTTAATAGAGGAAATAGAATTGTTTTTTAACGTTTAAAAATAATAACGATAAGGTTACACGAGTATTATGACAAAAAAGAATGAAATAGGTAAACAAATTGATACAGCAATCACAATGAAATAAATTAATCAAGTGCTTCCAATACCTAGTGCAAAATCTTTCTTATCTTATTACTATCATTGCAAGGATTACAAAAAAATATATATATATGTATATAGCATTTTTATTGAATTCTTTTTTTTTTTTTTCACTAACTCAATCATTGATATCTCGTTATTGACGTATTTCAGAACAGGCTATATAAAAGGTGAAAGAAAATCTAGATGCAGATCAAACAATCAACATGATGAAACTCATTGTCTTCGTAGCACTTTTTGTCGCGGTTTATGCCGGTAAGTTGAATTAAATGTTACAGTAATTAATTAGTTGTTTTTTTTTTTATTCATTCATCAGAATTAATTAACAAAGCTTTGAAGAAATGTATAATGAAAAAAAAAAAAAAAAAAAAAACAGGAAAATATTCATTGATTTAATATTTTATTTAGATAATTTTTGTATTATTAGTACAATTATGCTTGAAGTAATTTTATATTAAATACAATTTAAAAAATAATTAATTAATTATGAATATTATTTATCCAATTTATTATTATTATTATTATTACTACAATTATGTTCCAATTATTTGTTTATTAATTAATGATTTCTAAATTGAATAATTAAAAATAAAATAAAAATATTTTAAAAACCAAGTTAATCATTTTGATGTTTTTGAACAATTATGTTACATTAAATATTACATTAAAACAATAAGAAATGATAATATTAACTAAAAATAAAACAAAAAAACTAATAATGATTATAATTTTGTCAAATTTCAGAGAAACCTTATCTAGGTTTCAACTTGCCATTATTTGAACCCCGTATCACTGGTGGATCAAACGCTAATCAAAATGAATTTCCTTATCAAGTATCCTTGCAATGGGGTTTAACTTCATCTAAGCTTAAACACTTTTGTGGTGGATCTATCTTAAACGAAAGGTGGATTTTAACTGCTGGACATTGTGTTTTGGCTGTACCAAGTATCGGATCATTTGTAGTTAAAGCTGGAAAACATAATATTGCAAATACCGAAAGTGGTGAACAACAAAGGCTTGTAATTAAACAAATTGTACATGAAAACTATCGTGGGTAAGTTCAAATTAATTTGTGATATTCGAATTTTATATCCTTGATGAAGGAATTATTTTGCATTACATATATTCGTTATTAAGTAATTATTAATTATTTATAATATAATTATAATATTACTTATTATTATAAATTATTATATACATTACAATCAGTCCGATACACACGTTTTTAAGTCAACGAATTACCTTATACCGCCATCTGCTAGAATCTTATCGAACTAACAGAGATAATAATGCCCCTTTGTTAATAAATTCGCAATAAAGTAATATTGCAATTATAAATTGAGATATAAACTATCGTATCTTTCAAGTTGAATGAAACTGCACACAGTGTGAAAAATTTAATTAAAATCGGTTCAGTCGTTTAGGAGTCCATTGCGAACAAACAACGTGACGTGACGTAATTTATATATATTAAGAGAAGATACATTATATATTATATTTATAATAATATTCAGATTAATCGTAATTAAAATGAATGAAAATAATTTGATTATAAATAATTTATTTGTTCTTTTTTTTTTTTCAAATTACAGTGGAGTTAATCCATACGACATTGCTCTGTTGAAATTGAATGCACCATTGAATCTGAACAGTATAGTATCCCCAATAAAATTACCAAAATCTGGATCAATCCCATCAGGTAATAGCATTCTCAGTGGTTGGGGATCAGTATCAACTTCTTCGATTGCCCAAATGCCGGACATTTTGCAAAAAGCTACTCTTCCATTGATCGATATCAATACCTGTCGTCAAGCTTTGAATAATGTTGTTGGTACAACACCAATTCATGAGACTAATGTATGCACTGGACCTTTGACCGGTGGATATTCAGCTTGCAGCGTAAGAATCAAACTTTCATTGACAATTTAAATAATTATTAATTGTTTTGTTTTTTTTCTTTCTTTTAATTATAATTATTATTTAAATGAACAGGGTGATTCTGGTGGTCCTCTTGCAATTAAGAGCGGATCTAATTCTGAAATAATTGGTGTTGTTTCTTGGGGTATTATACCATGTGGTACTCGTGGTGCACCATCGGTTTATACCAGAGTATCAGCATTCAACAGTTGGATTGAAAATAAAATTAATAGCAATTAATTTTGATACATTTGACATTAATTTTATTAACTAAGGACACTTTTGATCAAACGTAATTTCATTGTAATGTAATTATTTTATTAAATAAAAAAAGAAACAACAATTATTTATCAAAACTTAACATTGCAATTTAATTTAAGGGGACCTTCTACTCTGAGCACCTAAAAAAAAGGCTATTTTCGCGAATTTTTTCCAAGAAAACTATAAAAGATATCGATCTAAAAGTT